TAAGGCACACAAAACATACAAAATTTTCTATTATTACTCTTATTTGTCTTTGCTAGATTCTATAAAAATTATGCTAATTAACTCATCTTATGACTGACTTCATATTTCAAGAGTGAATTCAAAGCATTTTTATATTAGGATTTTTCATCATTTATGGTTGTCTCAGAAGTACAACCAAATTCCCATAGTGCTCTTTTCAGTTCAGTTCCCTGAAAGTGTAGAGGTAACATAAAACAACTCACAACCGTCACCCTCCTGTCCTTCTTCCATCCAGCAGACTGTACTGTACACTGTGTCAACTCTCCTAGCCTGGAAGCTTTAATAGACACTCATCACTGTTGTGGTCCATGTTCCACATCTCACCAAGTGAGAGACACACAGGACGATTAGCACTTTTACAAATCTGAGAAAGAACAGAAGCTACCCCATGTCACCACATCAAAACTGAGTTGGTTTCTTTTTTAATTAGAGATGCAGATCCAGATACAAAAGTGGTGGCAAAGTACTCATGCTAACGTCCAGAGTGGTGGGTTTTTGTGTTTTTTTCTCCTTGTTTTCCTTTTTCTACTAAATGATGATATTAATTAAGCCAAAGACATATTATAAAGGGAAGAAAATGAAGAGATGGATTAGAAGTAGTGTTTAGGAAATGTCTTTGTCCATTGAAGTGTAACTCTAAGCAACATTTTAATTTGGGCATACTTAACTTCATCTGGCAATGCTGCTTCATATAGATCACTACTTTGAAGGAGGCACATTCCAGCTCTGTTTCCTTTGTCCAAAGCACAGAGGAATAAAAAATGCTTTTGTTCTTCAGCAGGAATTTTAGCTCTATTCCTTTGTCTTTCCTCTATCTAAATCTTAACCCCATCTTTCTAACCTTTTGCAATAGCTCCACAGATGCTACATTTCCCAACCACCCACGGCTCTCACGCCTGTCCATATACTGGTCTCTTGATATATTCAGTTGTGTTATCAACTCAAATCTCCCTTTAGAGCTCTCACTTGACCAAAATGGACAGGAAGCTATTCTTAAAAAACTACACTGAACAGGCACATGGAGAGTGACACCAAGTAAAAATGAGTTTCTTTTTTTTTTTTATCACTGTGATATAAGTAATCACATAATGTGAATAGGCAGATCAAAACTGTTTATTGTCTTACACTGATTTTATTCTTTCTAGGAACTTTTCTCTGTCACTTCCCCCCTTTCTTTATTCCTTTTGGGGTGTGGTGGCAACAAGATAGACATTTATATAAAGGCAATTTAGCATTCCAGCTCAGCTGGTTTCAAAACATACCCTGAACCACCTAATCACGTCCTGGCTAAGTCATATGTTTCTTCCCCTAAAACACTAATGATACAGAAGTTTGGATTCAGTAAGGCAATCTCGTTGCTTACAAAACAAAAACAAAACGCAACAGGACAAGCAAAAATGGGAACCTATATCAATTCTCTGAAGTCCATGGGAACAATATAATTTCTACTAAGGGTTTAATGCTCTTTGCCTGAGTTTTTAGGTTGCAAGAATCCTATGGGCCACATGCCATTTCTCTCTTTCTAGCAGCAGAACCTGCAGGTGGATGAGGGAGAAAACCAAAGGACTTCACTTCTAATGCCATTGTGTGCCCATGGCTGCACACAGAAGCAACCTGGGATATGTGTTTTCTCTACTAGGCAGCCAGATTATTCTGATAAGCATCTTTTCCCAAATGGAAAATGAAAATTGAATGTCTCTGAGAAAATATTACTTAATAAGTAGAGAGATGTCCAAAAGCACTATAAGGGAATCTTAAACCTGGCACTTTCAGTAAATTTGCCTGTACCTGGAAGGAAGCTGCGGGTTGAGTTATGTCTCAATGGATGACAAATATTGTTATCTTTGCTTCCCTTTATACACAGGAGTCTCGCGTAAAGCCATGTGCATTAGGTAGACTCTCCAGAGGGCAGCCAGCAACCTCTACTCAGAGGAATGTGGTGTTGCTTTGAGTTTTAGGGAGAAGATTAAGTAGGAGTCTTCACCTTGTATGTGCTTCTGAATAAAATCATGGTTTTGAAAACTAGGGGTGACCCCTAAACTCCACAACCTGCTAATAACTGTTGCCTGTGAAGGTTACTTAGGCTTGATTAATTTCAGTTTCCTCATCTAAGAAAATGGATACTGTTCTCTGTGGTGAATGAAACAACAAGCACAACTAGCACAGAGCAAGTGCTTGCTAAATGGTGGTAATTATGTACCACATCACTTAAATCCATGCTCAGATTTCTTCTATGTATTCTCAAATGGAGTTCATCAACAACCTGCAGCCAGCGGGTGAGTCCAGCCTGCTGGCAACACAATCAACAGAGTCACTTCCTCTTAAGGGATCCGAACTTTGCAGAAGCTAGACCCATTATACTCTCTTAAGGGAGTGGTTTGGGGCTGGAAAATCTTAATCTTGAATTCTTATCTCTTTGTCACCTCCCACACCCCCAATCCTCCCACTGGATATTTAGAACTTCTTGTAAACTTCACAAGATCGAAATTCATTGAGATCTGTGGGAGGTGTTGGAGGAAAAGGGGGGAATGGGATGTTAAAAATCAGGGCAGCAAAAATACCTATGATGTCATTTACCCTGACTTCTGAACCACCAGCTGCAGGCTTTCCACTTGCCTGGTGTGATACCTCACCTTTCTCAGCCTGTGTTATGACTTAACCCCTCAATCAGACTTCAGAGGGTGTTCGTTAGTGCGATTCCCACTCCTTCCCCACCTCCCCACAACCGTCTCTCCCTCCTTCTCTGACTTTGAGTGCAGCCAATTAAACCTGAACAACGGGTGGATGGAGGAAATACTCTGCATCTATGGAATGGTACAGCAGGGACCAGTTTCACTGTTAATTTAAAATGCAAGAATTAATTAGGTAGTGTAAATGAAGAATTTAATAAGCACTCTTTACAACCACAAGTTCTACTTTTATTAAACACTGCTATCAATGAGGGCAAATATCTCTAGTCTTTCTATATTTCCCTGGCTCATTCCCATAAGTTCTCTCCAAATAAATTTTTTTGCCTGAATTAAAAAAATGCATAATTATAAATTTATGCCTGAATTGTATTTCTGCCTTCATCTCATAAACTTCTTCTTTAAGCTCAGATGTTACTGTATATCTCTGCTTGTGCTGGAGAGGGTACTAAACAAACCAAAGTTGACAATTTTGGTTTTGTATACCAAATTAAAGGCTGTCTTCGAAGCTGTCACTCCTATTCAAATCTACTCGGTGAACTACCAAATTAACATTCTTTCAGTAAAGGAATCTGCTTGTTTAAACATGTGTCTTTAGAAAACAAGGAACAACACCATGAATCAGTATTTCTTAAAAATCTCACTACCATTCTAAGAGAATACTTCTGAAAAGGTGATTAATAACATTCACTAACATAGCTGGCAGAATCCCTATTTAGAAGGTGAGACTAAACCCAGAATACATTTCCTATATAGGAGTGGGAGGAAGAACCATACTGTTGGCTGGTTTTAATTTGAGCTGAATTATCACCCCATTATAACAAAATTATTCAGGAATCTAAACATTGGCTCTCTGAAAGTATGGGCAATTCCGTTAAAGGATAGATGATTCAGTACTCTGGGATAAAATCATTAATGCCTGTCCCTATTTGGAGACCTTTATATAATTTTTCTGTCCTGGCCACTCTCCTTGAAACATGTTAGATGTACGTACAAAAATAACAAACTCCAGTTACTGAGAGATTCCTACCCAACTGGGCTGGGTGCAATACAGCTTATCTCTCATTTCACCCTAACAACACACCCTTTAGGATAAATATTATTTTCCAATTTTAAAGATGAGGAAATTGTGTTTGGAGGCTTATGTGACTACATTGTAGAGCAGTGTATTTTAGTTTTATGATTTTGCAAAGTATTTAACTTATAATTTACATATGAATTATGAGACTTAGAGAATGCATATATTTATATACATACATACACATTTTGGTCTCTGATTTAAAGTCAAAATAATGTATCTCCCTATTTTAATCATAGAGTTTCTTTTTCACAGATATAGGCCAGTCGTTTGTCAATTAAACCGTCCAGGGAAAGGGAAACCAAAGTCAACATTCTTTACTTATGAGCACTCAAATTTGATGTGAACGATTTCAGGAATGGAGTATCAGAGACAGCCAGCAGCCTTATTATGTGGCCCAACATTTTTCTAAGAAATATTCTCCCTTCCAATAAGCTCACAGGGAAATTTCCCTCTATAGAATTACTGTATCATTATCAGGCAACTATTAGGTCTTTAATGAACAGTTGCCAATTAGGAAACAATTAGAAGGTAAAAATCTTGAATATGTTGTATAGGGCATTGGCTCACTTTCAAGTAAAAAGTCCCTAACTTCTCAAAGAGTACCTTCAACACAAAGAAAATGAAACACCTCAAAGGCAGATCTTCATTAAGCATCTCCCTTCAATTGCAAAGTTGTTGTATTCTACAATAATCTACTATGTTTAGGGCATGTTTCTCCAATGAGTCATTGTGCCACATTCCACGAGTCCACCTGGGCTCCCTTTCAAACACTTGTCAAAACATGAGGAAGAATACTGGACACATACAAACCAGTGTTTGAGAGGAGAAGAAATGAATAAGAATTGGCATGGAGTATAGGGAGGGCAGAGGGAAGAACTGGGAACGTACAAGCAATAGGCACTGTGGCTGATTAAGAATGAATGAGGATAAAAATCAAAGCATCATTTCACATTAAGGTGAAGAACCTTGGAAATATTCATCTGCTTCCCAGTCCTCCCAGCTGTACTATGGCTTTATATGGTGCACACACATAGGTAATGTGAGTTTATGACTGTGTATCCATGCCATCCTTACATGATAGATACAAAATGAAGACATTCAGACACACCATCATGCATCTACATTTCAACTAAGTCTGCACATCCAATGGAACACTGTGAATCCCAAGACTGGAATACTGAAGAAGAGCATACCTGTAATTTTGTCTCTCACGAGTTTGCAGGATTCTATTTCACCAATGCTCCCAAAAAGACTCCTGAATTCCTCTTGGGTCATATTTTGGGGTAAATAGTTGACGATGAGGTTGGTTTTGCTATCATCTGTGGCTGCCCCTGTCTGCATGGGAGAAGGACAGTTTCTGTTGTTGCTGGAGGGTCCATTGCTTGTATTGGATGTTGGGCCATTTGACACCTGAGGCTCCATGGTGCTAATTATCTAAATAAAAAAATATAAAAAGAAGTCTTTTGAAATCTCAAAGACACAATGAATGTATCTTTTAATATTTTATTTTTTAAAGAAAGAGAACAAGATGAAGCAAGATGGAGTAAAAGAGACTAGGTTGTGAACACAGCCAATTTAGAAGCATGTTTTTAACCAAAATGTTAAACTCCCCTTGCTATTTTTAGGCCAGCCTGTAGATTTTGAACACAGACTAGAATGCAGTGGGAACTCTCCCATTATTTTGTTAATGAAAAGCTAATTCCTGTTTTCATTACACAATCACTCTCAGAAATGTATACTTAAGCCACACCAAATTATAATTAAAATGTAAAGTAATAATCATGATTAAAATTATAGTTCCATTAAAGCTGAAAAAGCTAAATATAGAGGGCTACAATCACATGATCAAATACAGTACCTGTTTATTAACTATCTCATAAAGTAAAATGACATTAAATTAAGTGGGACTGTTCCATATGAGAAGTGTTTAGATTTTCACCAATGCTTAAACACTGATCAAACTTCCAACTTCATAAGTACATTTTTGGGAGCTGCAAAAGTCATCTCATACTTTTATTTTTTTATCCAGCCATTCTGTTACTGTTTTTCCCAGACCTCTAATAAAACAAAAAAATATGAAGAAAAAGGTTTTCTAGGTTTCTACCTTAGGTCCAGTACAGCTGGAGGCTGTCTTCTTGGACACTATTCAAAAAGGATTTTCTCTGTATTTAAATTATTTAATTAACCAAAGATTTTCTCAGATGTGTGAACTGTCCCAGGCAGCATGCAGAGAAATTAAAAAAAAAAAAAGTGATTTTCTATCCTCAAGAGCATAAATCTAAAGAGGACCCAGATGGTGAAGAGTTGGTGGTAGAACAACAGGCATGTAAGAAGAGGAACAATTACTTCTGTCTACAGGACAAAGGGATTCAGGGAAAGTAGTGAGGACATGATACTAGAGTAAGATTTTAGAAGGAAAATCAGTGTTTAAGCATCATGAAGTCAGGTCACAAAGATACCTTATATGGGCTGACAAAACTGGAAAGTAAGAAAATCAAAGAGCTTGAGGTCACTTAAGGGAATAAAATCTAGTTAATTCGCTAATGTTTGAGATGAGGTCCAGAGATACCCAGTGACTTTGTTATTGCAGGAAAGTGAAGCAGAGTCTGGGCCTACACACAGGTTTCTTGGCCCCAGATGCAGCCCATCAGTCTCCCTTTTCCATTCTGTCTTGTTACTGTTCCCTAGTTGTCCAACATGACATGGCTTCCATCTCTTCTCAAACTATCATCAACTCCTTGGAAATAGATCCATGCTGTCCCACTCATTAGCTGTGGTGTCTGGCAAGAATTTAAACTCCAGGAGCCTCAATTTTCTTCATTAGAAAAGTGGGAATAATGCCACCCGCCTTGCAAAATGGTGAGATGGATCAGTGACATGACATATGTACAGGGGCTGAACAGTGGTGAAACATAACCACAATCACTGATATTTGTCACCTTCTATGATTTTTCTTACCTACTCCTCTGATAATAATTTTAGCTTCCATATTATTACCATTTGGTTGCTAAGAGAACTTTTTGATGGTAAGCATTTTCATTGAATATAACATGCATGTAGTAAAGTATATAAATCTTAAAGCTACAATTCAAAGTGAACACCCGAGTAACCGCTTTTCAAAACACAACACACAACATGACTAGCACCACAGAAATCTCCCCCTTGTCCTCTCACCTGTCATTTAAATCACCCTGCCCCACCAAAGTAGCCAATATTCTGACTTCTAACCCATAAATTTGCTTTATCTATTTTTGAACTTTATATATACAGAATTACACCATATGTACTCTTTGGTGCCTTTTAACAGCTATGAAGTGTAATCTATGTTGTTATATGTAATAATATGTTGTTCTCCACTGCTATAGAGAATTTCATTGTATAGAAGTACAGCATTTTATTTCATGGCGAACATCTCTTTTTTTCTAGTTTTGAACTATTATAGCTATTGCTGCTATGAGCATTATGTGTGTGTTTTGATACATACACGCATCTTGGCATCTTCCTAGGATTCTAGTGGTTGGGTCACAGGGTATATGTATGTTCAGCTTAAGCAGATACTGTCAACAGTTTTTCAAAATGGTTGTACCAATTTAAACTCCCACCAGCAGAGAATGAAAGTTGCAGCTGGTCCATATTCTCATCAATGTTGGGTTTTGTTTGTGCTTATTTTTTCATCGGCAGCAGAGTGATATGGGGGACAGTTTTTGAGTCAGGACAGCATCTACCTTAGAATTCCAGTTCTACCACTTATTAGCTATATGATCTCAGGCAGGTTGCTTCAATACTCTCAGCTTCACTGTCTTCTTTTGCAAAACTAGAATAAAGCTTGACATATAGTATTATCTTCAGGATGAGAGCACATGTATATGAAGTGTCCAGAAGATGGAGTGCCTAGAGGTGTCATACTATTTTCCTCATCGTACCCCACACAGGTGAGTGTTACTCTGCTTCTTCTTTTGATGGTCACACAAGGAAAATGAAACCAAAAGAAAAACTTGAAGTCTTGAGAAGAGCCAGGGAAATAAAGCAGATTGAGGAAGGTGGGGCATGTCCAAGGTTCTTTACCGTGATGTAAGTAACTTAAGTGGTTCCACTTTTCACATCACCAGCACTTTCTTCTTGGCTTCAGGTCAAACTGTAGGATTCCAGATGGCTGGTCCAGACAACAAGGAGAAAGCAGAAAGCTTATGAGAAGAATCTTAAATCAATCTCTCCTCAGGATTGATAGAAACTATACTCAGAAGGTCTATTCAGCTGCTCTGCTCTGCTCTGGAGGCAAAGGTCCAGGAAAAGAATGGGGGAGGGGGCATGCTAATGGAGATGAAGTTCCAGTGCATCAGCACAACTCTTGGCTGGGATGCAGGTTCCTGCTGGGCCAAGCCCTAGGTCCTCCTGGACCTGTGCTGCACCTCCCTTTGCTGTCCTCTTACTGCTTCTCTGAGTCAGGTGTCCAGACAACAATCACAGGAAGCACTGCCAACTCAGTAAGGAACTTGAAAATCAGAATTTACCCATTTCGGAGGACTGACCATCAGAATCTCTGAGCTGCCTAATCACTGCATTTTGATTTAGTGGCACCCTCCCTCCTAGCCACTCCCCCAACCAAAAAACCTGACCCACAATCTGTACAGCCTCTTTCTTGTTTGCCACATTTCTCATATTTCCTGTCATATAGCTCAATCCCCCACAGATACCTAGAAAATATCCTCTACTGAGGCAATGTTTTTTGTGCTAATGATGGAATATATAGAAGAATGTATGTCACACCTAAGGATGCTGAGATTCTGTGGGACTGAAGCTATTGAAAGTCATCTAACAGGTTCATCTTTTGTTCATTGAATGCTCACTTCAGACATGTGGTAAAAACCAGCCCTTGTCCATGTGAACATTTTACAGCTCTACCTGCTCCAGGTAGGAAGGCCTACAAAGTATCAAGGCTGCAGCAAAATAATTTCATTTCCCCCATCAGTTCTGGATTGCCTTATATCCCATGTGGGTTTCCTAATTTATGTTGACACCTTGAGTACAGCCCTATCTGTAGATTAGACAGCCCCAACTTGGTTCCATCCTTTGAGAAAGAGCATTAGATGCAATGTTTACCATTGAGCTACTTCAACAGACCATACCTATAAATCAGGTCGTGTCACTCTTGTGTAGTGGAGATGAAGCTCTCTCCTGTGCACATACATTGCATAGTTATCCTTTCATGTAGCCACAAAAAAACTCATGAAAATATATGCACCCAGAGTTTTCTCAATAAAAAAATGTACAGTCTGAAAGCTGACAAACGCTCATGAATGCATATATCACAAACATCATGTAATAAGATCCCTCACTGCTCTGAATGACCAGTCTTATGAATTCCAGAACGCAACACATGCTATAAAAAAACAATCAGAAGTTTAAAATTTCAGGATCTAATCTGACATGGAATGAACCAAGAGGATTTAAAAACATAACCTGCAAAATAAGAGAAGCTGCTAAGACATAAAGACACTGAATGCATGAGTCTGAAACTGCAACATTTTAAGGTTGCTAAAGACAGGACACCTGTGTTCTCTACTTGGGAACCAGAGCAGAGGAAGAGGAAGAGAAAATAAATGTTGGTGAAAAACACACCCTCCAATAAGCACAGAGGCTGGCTCAGCAAAATCAGAACACTTGCTTCCTCAGGCTAACGCCTTTGATATTCTAACAGCACTTTTTTTTTTTTGCAAATAAATATATCAGTTACTCAAGTGTGCATATGTACTTCAATGAAACATTCTGTGTGGGTCTCACAGCCAGCTTTGTAGCTGACCAGATTCCAAACTCCAAACTTGCCCTCTTTCCCTTTCCTGAGCAGCAATTAAGAAGAGAATTACAGCTGGCATCCAGGCTAGAGCATTGAGGTGGTTCAGTTGACTGCAAACTCTAATGGCTGCACAAACCGTTACATTAAATCTTCTATGCTCTCGTGATATATTTTAAGAAACATTGTACAGGCAGAAAATTTCAGGGATAAACTATTAGAGCAGTGCACAATTTGAGGCACTCAAATCCTGTCATTGTAAATGTCAATGGTTTGAATAACTAATTACTCACATTCAACACATTAACCTCACCCCTCCCACCTTTTTTCCAAAATATATAACAAAAGCAAGAGGGAAGGGCTCAGACATGCAGCTGCCAGATCATCACCAGGGCTGTTTATCTCTGCAGAGGGCTATATAGAGCACAGGCTGCACCAGCCTCTTTCTCATGGCACTCCTGGGGAGGGAGCCAACTTTCTCTGCCATGGCACTTCCCTCGCCACAATCCAGGTCTTTATGTCCACTCATGGTATCTGTAACTCTTCTTCCTTGATATGCTATGCCATATGCATATACAAAAGGGTTTATTTCCACCATGGCTAGATATGGGTATGTTAGATGAGTACAGATGGAAACCAAATGTGCCAGAAACTGTGCTATGACCTGAGAATATAGTTTATCTCACTGGGTCCACAGTGTGGGTACACAATAGGTATCAGAGGACATTAGGAGCTGAGAACCCAATCCCATAATATTAATGATGAGAAAACTGAGGACCAGAAGAAGAAAATGACTTGCCCAAGGAGTACATGCCCAAGTACATACTGCTCAGTAGAAGTAGACAGCCCTGGAGCCCAGGTCTACAGATTATCTCCCTTGGGTACTCTTGTGTCTTGGATAAAGATTTACTTTTTGGGGAGAAAGTTCTGAGGCATGGCCATATCACAGAAATGCACTTGAACAGATGTGTGGAGACATGTCTACCTTTAAAGCTTTTTATGGTTAGCACTTTGTAGCTTACAAATAATGGCTACTTGAGCTGTGAGATCCATGGTACAGAGATCACATCTCTTTTGTTTATTATAGTATCTATCCACTGCATGTAAAACAGGCCTCACAATCAGTAGCTGTGGATGAAAGATTGTTGAATGAATAAAAGTCCTTGCATGTCTAATAGCTTAGTGGATCATGTGAAATATAAGCCAATAAAATATTGATATCATCCCCATTTTTTGGAGATACTTGGATTTGAATTCAGGGCCTCATGTTTGCTAGGCAGGCACTCTACCACTTGAGCTGTGCCCCAAGCTATTTTGTAGCTAGGATCTCATGTTTTTGTTCAAACCTGGCCTCAGACTGTGATCCTTGAACTTATAACTCCCACATAGCTGGGATTAGAGACTTGAACAAATAAACCCATTTTGTTTGTTGAGATGCAGTCTTGCTAACTTTTTGCCTGGGCTAGCCTCAAACCTTGAGTAGCCACTGTGGCTGGCCCCCATTTTGTATATAACAAAAGAGGACAGAATAGGTAAGCCACCAGTCACTTATTGAGCAGCTATTATATACCAGGCGTACGTTTAGATATTATTTCAAAGACATATTTAAATTTTTTATTGTGGCAAAATATACAAACTATGAAATTTATCATATTAACTATTTTTAAGCATTATATTATTATTTTGGGCATTAAAAACAGCCATATTGTACAACTACTACTACCATCTAGCTCCAGAAATGTTTTCGTCTTACAAATCTGGCACTGTATACCCATTAAACAATAACTCACCACTCCCTCAACTCCCGGCTCCTGGCAACTAGCATTCCACTTTTTGTCTCTATTTCAAATTCATTCAAGCAGGAGGCTGACATTCTGGTCATCACGGACCCAGTCAGAGAATCTGTTGGATGCCTTGGCCCTTTCTCTCCAGAAGAACCAATCTATTGTCTCCAGATTGAAAGCCCTCAAACTAATCCTTCCCATTTAAGCCCATGATATTTTTGGAGCACTTCTGTGAAGATTACCACTCTTTCAACTTCTTGATAGGAACTTCTAGTACCCTGTCGTCTCACCCTACCTCCCGTCCACCCTATTTCCTATACCAATGTGGATGAGAACTGTGAGTGAAGCATGCTGATATCATGTAGCACCCATGGCCCTACAGGGTCCCTCCACCCTCACCTCAATTCCATTTAATAAATCATCAGGAGAAAGAGAATAGAACCTGGTGGTTCAGGGAAGCCTTTGGTCTTACTGGTATAAAAATGGTACCTGCCCTCACAGAACTGTTATGAAGACTGGGAGAGACAATATACATGAACACTCAGTACTACCTTCATTAGTAATCCCTCCACAGACATTGGTGATGACTGATAAATATTATTAGAAGAAAACAGGGAAAAAAGACTAAAACCCAATAAGTTGGAAACTAGATTGGGAGTTAATAAGAAAAGCCAAGAGTAGCAATATAATCAAAGGGCAAAAACTTTCCTTTTTTCCCAAATCACTTTTTATGTAATGTTTTACACTAAGAATTCATTCATTCATTAATTAAACAAACATTTGTTGCTGAAGGGTCCATATGTTAGAGGAAAAAGCACATCCTGTGGTCAGGAAACTCCTTAAAGTATATTAAGCAAGACCACTCTAAAATTGTAAAAGTGTACTTAATGACTAAAATACAAAAAGTGTACTTACAGCCCCTCTAACATTTCTTCCATCAGTTCATGAATTCCTTAAACCTCCCTCTATCTTTTACTCTTCGTAAGGCTTTAATTTGCCCACTTTTGAGGGAAAATCAGGCTAGAGTTACAAGACTGATGCTCCTTTTCACAAACGAGGACAGTCATTGTCTGAGGCTCCAGAGAGCCACATCAGAGTGATGCTGTAGTCACCTCATCAATCCTGCCAGTCATACCATATTGTGTCCCTGCTCCAATATTGTCCATAAAACAGCAGCCTGACAATAAACTATTGTTTTGCATTTCTGTATTTTAACCTAGTTTACACTATCAGTGTTTACTTCACAGGGGAAATAAAAGATTACAACCTGAGGTCATAGGAACCTGTACTGATGTAGAACTCACTACTGCCATTTGTCATTCAAGAGCCCAGTACAGGGCTTGTAGACCTATCACTGTGCTCTCAGAAATTTCAGCTTCTGGCTTTCTGGAAGAGGTGTGGTCTCACTGTTTAATTTATGCAAAAGGATCAAGCAGGAAGAACCATAGAAGGTTCCTTTTCCAAATACTCCTGTCTTCTGTTTTCAAACCCCTTTACATGTCAACAGTCCCAGAAACTAGAAAGATGCTAAAGAAAGTGTACTGATTGCAGACATGTTTCATATGCATACATTTGACA